ACCTAAGCTTAGCCAATTCGTCTGATAACTGCGCCGCCTGCAGAGGATCATGAGCTGTTAAACCCCGCAGAGTCCTCGAGGTAAGGTTGAAAGCACGGTCCATCCACTACAGAACAAAAAAATTGAAGAATAAAAATATATGCTCATTATTTATTAAAATAAAATTTATTCTAATCAAACAATATTAATTAAAAGTTTGCGAACGTCTTACATAGTCGGTGTTCCCACGCGTAGGGACCTCTCTCTCGTCAGGCAGATTCTCACCCAAGACAGTAGGATGGGAAACCCGACGGTACCACAGCAAGTACTCCGGATCCGCCTCCCCTCGATCATCTGTGGCGACCCTACACATGCTGGTGTTGACAGTCTGCGACATCGGGAACTGGTTCCACATATTTACTGCGCCGACATCAGGATGCTCAACTTTGTAGAGCCTCGACTATCAAGCACGATTATTATAAGTAATGGATCAAACATTTTTTTTTCATGATTAAATAATTGTTAGTTAATCATTCATGATTATAAAATTCCAATTAATCATGTATAAAATTCTAAATAATCATCTATACTACCTGCCAAGCACGGTTTGCAGCGGTCGGCATCTGTATAGGGGGAGGGATGGTCTGGACATACCCCAACTGCCGTAGAAACCGTACAGGATAGTACGGCTCGACAATATCGCTATACCGAATCAGTCCGCAATAAAGAGTCCTCTACTCTATCTTATCTGGCCATGAGCTGCTGTATGGCGTCCATTGCACCTGTTCACAATGGCATAAAAGCATTTATAAGAATATTTATATTATTTTAAATAACGAGTAACTAATTAAAATAACTTAACGTACACTGGAGGCAGTGAGTCTGTCCAGCTTCCGACGGATAGACATGAGACGGTCCTCTGACCTATGAGGCGCCCATGCGTTCCACATCCGAACTCATGCGGACTCGTTAGGTCCGAGGGGTAAACGCCCCTCCTGGGGTCGGAAATCAGGGAAATACTCGTAAATCCAAGACTGCAGAAGAGTCAAGCAGCCGAAAGTTGTTTGGAGTCCCCTCTGCTGGCAATACCTAACTGTCGGTATAAATATGCCAGCGTAGCCGACCCCCATGAGTAACCTCCAATGGCATCCAAGCCGTCGAGCACC